ATGGCATTCTGCATGATTTGGCTTTTTGCTTCCTAAGTGAAATTTTGTCTAATAGCTAGTTGGAGTAAGAGAGCCAAACAAAATATCACGTTCAGCATACTCAATTTCTGTCAGTTTCATCTCTTACTGAGCAGTGAAAAATGATGCCTTGAGGTATTCTTTCATTTTCATGATTAGAGGGATTCATGGCTATGGATTTTTCTTACAAATTTATGTCCTGATTTTAGTTCCTATTTTCATTTCTTGTGGTCAAAGTTATTAGGTTATTAAAGAATTTCTCCTATTCCAGCTATGAAATTCAGGAAGATTGTCCTGCCAAAGCCAGGAATAAGTACTAATAAGACAGTGAACTTTTAAATTGTTTGAATTTATCATATTTATTCATAACTAAGAAATATTTCCAACACACAGAAAATTTAAGAAAATATATATATATTATATGACCCTTTTGTTCTACTTACTTTACAATTTTTAAAAATGGAATAAAACTTTCCAAAAGTCAAAGCTACCCTGTGTCTCTTCCTTTGATACAATAACTGAGATAGGCCCAAGTTAGTTTTTATCACTCCTTTGCCAGTTTTTACACTCTAAAACTGTGTGTATCTATAAAAAACATGTAGAATTGATCTGCCTATTTTCCAGCTTTACATAACTGCTATTGAACTACACATACCATTGGATCTCACTTTTTTCACTCCACTCTATGGTTTTGAAATTGGTCCGTGGTAATACATGTAATTTTAGTTCACTTATTTTAATGATTGTATAGCGCTTCAGAAAGCAAAATGGCACAGCTACTTTGGAAGACTGTTTGGCAATTTCTTACAAATGTAAATATTCTCTAAGCATATAACCCAGCAGTCATACTTCTTGATATCCCTGGTATTTACCCAAATAAATGGAAGTCAATCAAAACATAATCATTTCCTGCTGTTGGACATTTAGGTTACAAACAATGTTGTAACAAACATTTTATGTATATATCTTTTTGTTCATGTGGGATAAAGTTTTTCCAGGGCTGAATATTTTTATCTTTACAAGATATTGCTAAATTACTCTCTAAAGTGGTAAAGAGAATGTATCCTCTAATCACTGTATAGAAATTTTGTATTTCTCCACATCCACACCAAATATTAGTATTTTGAGGCTTCTAAAAATATCTGCTGACTTGATAGATGTGAAATAATATCTTCAGTTTAAATTTGTGTTCTCCTCTCTGGAATCCCAGAGGTTATGCATTTGTTTTATTTCTATGGATCATGTAGGGTCTTCTGGGCAAATTGCCTCTTCATTCCCTGTACTACTTTTCTATTGACTTGTTTGTATTTTTTTAGAGTGGTTTTGGACATTTATGAGTTCTTTTGTGGTTGGCATTTACTGTGTTTTGCTTGATAAGTACTTTCAGCAAATGCCAAATTAGTCATTTTAATATAAAAATGTTTTTTAAAAATTAACAAACTTAACTTTTTTAGAGCAGTTTTAGATTCATAGCAAAATGGAGCAGAAAGTACAGAGTTCCCATAACTATCCATTTCCACAAACTCACAACCTCCCCTACTATTGACATCCTGTACTGTGGAGATGCATGTGCTGCAACTGATGAACCTTTTTGACTCATCATTATCATTTGAAGCTCAAAGTGTATGTTAGGGTTCATTCTTGGTGTTTGTACATTCTATGGGTTTTGACAAATGCACAGTGACATGTAGCCACCATTGTAGCATTATATATAATAATTTCACTGCCTTAAAAATCCTCTATTCATCCCTCCGCTCAACTCTGGAAGCCACTGATTTTTCACTCTCTCCATGGTTTTGTCTTTTCCAAAACATAGTATACCTGAAATCAGACAGTATGCAGCCTATCCAGATTGGCTTCTTTCACTTAGTAGTATGCATTTAAGTTTCTTCTATTCCTTCATGTCTTTTCATGGCTTGATAATTCATTACTTTTAAGCACTGAATAATATTCTGTTGTCTGCATATACCACAGTTAATTTATTCATTCATCTACTGAATGGCAGCTTGTTTGCTTTCATGCTTTAGCAATTGTGACTAAAGTTTCTGTAAACATCTACGTGCAGGTTTTTGTGAGGACATAAGTTTTCCATTTATTTGGGTAACTACCAGGGATATCAAGAAGTGTGATTGCTGGGCTTTATGGTTTCTTACTTTTGTAAGAAATTGCCAAACAGTCTTCCAATGCAGCTGTACCATTTTGCATTCTCACCAGCAATGAACGAGCATGTCTATTGCTTCACATCTTCACCAGCATTTGATATTTCCAATGTTTTGAATTTTAACCATTCGCTGTTGTTTTAATTTATAATTTTCTTCTTATTCTTCTTTATCCTTCTCTTTCTCCTTCTTCTACCTTTTCTTTCTTCTTATTATTCTTTTTCTTCTCTTCTTCTTCTCCTCCTCCTCCTCCTTCTTCCTTCTTCTTCTGTCTTCTTCTTTCATCTTCTTCTTTTGTCCTCTTCATCTTCTTCCTTCTTCTTTTTTGATGGAGTGTTACTCTTGTTTCTTGTTGCCTAGACTGGAGTGCAAAGCCGCGATCTCAGCTGCCCCTAGGGTTCAAGTGATTCTCCTGCCTCAGCCTTCCGAGTAGCTGGGATTACAGGCATGCATCACTATGCCTGGCTAATTTTATTTTTTTAGTAGAGATGGGGTTTCTCCATGTTGGTAAGGCTGAGCTTGAACTCCCAACCTCAGATGATCCACCTACCTTGGACCCCCAAAGTGCTGGGATTACAGGCATGAATCGCCATGCCCAGCCTTAATTTTCAATTTTCTAATGATACATGATGTTGAACATCTTTTCATATGCTGGCTCACCATCTGTATATCTTCTTTGGGAAGGTGTCTGTTCAGGTCTTTTGGTCATTTTTTTTTTTAATGAAGTTGTTCATTTGCTTATTGTTGAGTTTTAAGAGTTCTTTGTATATTTTAGATAATAATCTTTTATCAGATGTATCTTTTGCAAATATTTTCCCCCAGTATGGCTTGTCTTCTCATTTTTCTGACACCATGTTGTGTGAAGTATAAATATTTAATTTTAGTGAAGTCCAGCTTATCAACTCCTCTCGTGAATTGTGCATTTGGTATTGTTTCTAAAAAATAATTGCCATAGCCAAGGCCATCAAGTTTTTTTTTCTATGGAAGTTTGTGTCTAGATTTATCATTATTTATTGCATTGTTGTTGTCCAGTGATATGAACACCATTTATTGAAAAGACCATCTTTGCTCCATTTGTCAAAAATCAGTTAATTGTATTTATATATGTCTATTTCCAGGCTCTCTATTCTGTTTCATAGAGTTATTTGTCTGTTTTTTGGACAGTTCACACTCTCTTGATTATTATAGCTTTATAGTAAGTCTTGAAGTCAGGTAGCATTAGTACTCAGAGTTTCTTTCTTCTCCTTCAATAATGAGTTGGTTATTTTGAGCCTTTTCCCTCCCTTATAAACTTTAGATTCAGCTTTTTTCCCCTCACAAAGTAACTTCCTGGAATTTTGACCGGAATTATGTTGAATCTATAGACAAAGTTGGGAAGAACTGACATCATGACAATATCGAGTCTTTCCTTCCATAAACATGGAATATCTCCGGTTTATTTATTTATTTTATTTTTTATTATTATTTTTTTTGATAGCTTCTTTAGTTTTGTAGTTTTCCTCATATAGTTCTTAAACATATTTTGTTAGATTTATACCTAAGTATTTCATTTTGCGGGGTGCTAATGTAAATGACAATGTTCTTTTAATTTCAAATTCCACTTGTTCATTGCTGGTATTAGGAAAGCTATTGACTTTTGTAATTAACCTTGTATCTTGCAACCTTATTATAATTGCTTGTTAGTCCAAGGAACTTTTTGTTGATTTTTTCAGATTTTCTGTATTGATGGTTATGTCATCTGTGAACAGATAGTTTCTTTTCCTTCCTTCTTCATCTGTATACTTTTTTATTTTCCTTTCTCAACTTATTGCATTTAGGATTTCCAGTATAATGCTGAAAAGCAGTGATAAAGGGGACATCCTTTCCTTGTTCCTGATCTTAGCAAGAGAGCTTCAAGTTTCTTACTATAAGATGTGTTAGCAATGGATTTTGTTGTTGATGTTTTTTGATTAAGTTGAGGATGTTTGGCTCTATTCCTAGTTTGCTGAGTCTTTTTATCATGAATTGGTGTCTATATCTATTGATATATCATGTGAGTTTTCTTATTAAGCATGATGATGTGATGTATTACATAGGTTGATTTCAAATGTTGAACCAGCCTTCAAATCTTGGGTAAATCTCACTTGGTTATGTTATATAATTCCTTTTATACCTTGTTGGTTTGATTTGATTATATTTTATTATCTTTGCCTCTATGTTTATGAGAAATATTTTTCTGTACTTTTATTTTCTTGTAAAATCTTCTCTGGTTTTGGTGTGGTGATGCTGGCCTCATAAATTAGAAAGTATTTCCTTTGTTTCTGTTTTCTGAAAGATTATAGAGAATTGGTATAATTTCTTTATTAAATGTTGGTAGAATTCAACAGTGAACACATCTGGGCCAGGTGCTATCTGTGTTGGAAGATTATTAACTATTGGTTCAATTTCCTTTATAGATATAAGTCTACTCACATTGTCCATTTCCCCTTGTGTGAGTTTTGGCATGTTGTGTCTGTAGGAAATTGGTTCATCTGTTATCAAATTTGTGCAATTTACCTATAATTCCAGCACTTTGCAATGCTGAGGCTGGTGGATCACTTGAGGACAAGTGTTTGAGACGAGCTTGGCCAATATGATGAAACCCCATATCTACTAAAAATACACAGATTAGCAGGTGTGGTAGTGGGAGCCTGTAATCCTGGCTGCTTGGGAGTCTGAGGCAGGCGACTCACTTGAATCCAGGAGATGGAGGTTGCAGTGAGCCAAGATTGTGCCACTGTACTCCAGCCTGGGCGAAAGAGCAAGACTCCATCTCAAAAAAAAAAAAAAAAAAAAAAAAATCTGCTGTTGCTATAAGATGATTTCAAATTCAACCACTAGAAACATGAGACATAATAATAATAGACTGTTGCTTAAAGCCACTATGTCTGAAGTGGTTTATTTCATAGCAATAGACAACCTCAACACAAAGATTGTTTTCAACTGAAGCTCATGAAAATGGCGGTGAAGATGAACTATTTCAAATTAGCTGTTTAATTTGAAATCGTCTTACACTTACCAAAAGTTTTAAAATATAACACAGAAAACTCATATGCCATTCACCTATCTTCTCCTAATATTAGCATCTCATAGAACCACAGTAAAATTAATGACATCAAGATATGACCATGGTTACAATAATACTATTAACTAATCTAGAGACTTTATTTGAATTTTGCCAATTATACCACTAATACCATTTTTTAATCCAAGAATCAATCCATAATAATCCTGTCTTGCCTTAAGCTTCATATTTTGTTAGTCTTCTTCAATCTATTACAATTCCTCTGTTTTTGTTTGTCTTTTATGACTTTGACATTTTGAAGAGCATGGACCAGTTGTTCTGTAGAATGTCACTGAATTTGAGTTTGTCTGATTTTTTTCCATGATTAAATTCAAGTTATGCATTTTGGCAAGAGTTCCACAATAGTAATATTGTGACCTTCTCAGAGCATCTTGTCAGGACATACAGAATACTGATATGTATTAATACATTATGTCTTATTACATAATTTTAACTTTGATTCCTTGGTTATGGTGTATCTGCTAGATTTCTCCACTGTAAAGTTATTATTTTTTCTTTTGTGTTAGTAAGTATCTTGAGAGGAGATAGTTTAATACTGTTTCTTCTCCTATCTTAATACTGATTTTAGCATTCATTTGTGACTCTTACCTGTAGTAGTTACTATTTTTGCCCTAATGGTGATTTTCTACTTTCATCATTCCTTCTACATTTAGTAATTAGACTTTGATGCTAGGGGGACTTCTGCCAAGATGACCGAATAGCAACAGCTCCAGTCTGCAGTACCCAGCAAGAGTGTGCCAGAAGACTAGTGATCTCCACATTTCCAACTGAGGTACCAGGTTTATCTCACTGGGACTGGTTAGACAGTGGGAACAGCCCAAGGTGGGCAACCCAAAGCAGGGTGGGCACTGCCTCACCTGGGAGGTGCAAGGGACTGGAGACTGTCACTCCTAGCCATGGGAAGCCATTAGGGACTTTTCCCGACACTCCAGCCCTCTGGCTCAGACACTGCGCTTTTCCCACTGTCTACACAGCCTGCAGACCAGGAGATTCCCATTGGCACCTAAAATGTCAACACCTGGGGTTTCCAGCACAAAACTGGGTGCCTGCTTTAGATGAGTGGCACCTGGAATGCCAGAGAAACAGAACTGCCTATTCCCCTGAAAAGCAGGGCTGAAGCTAGGGAACCAAGTGAGTTGGCTGGGGGGTCCCACCCACAGAAAACCAGCAAGCTACTGGCTTGAAACTCTCACAGCCAGTACGGCAGTCTGAGCTCGACCCAGGACAGTGGAGCTTGGTGGGAGGAGGGCCACCTGCCATTGCTGAAACTCCCATAGGTGGCTTCAACAATGCCTGTGTAAACAAAGCCACTGCCTCCTGGAAGCTTACATCGCAGGTGGGTGGAGCCCAGCACTGCAGCTCAGCAAGGCCTCTACAGGCAGACTGTCAAGTAGATTCCCTTCTCACTGGGCATGGCATCTCAGAAAAAAATATACAGCAGCCCATCAGGAACTTATAAAGCCCCCACCTTCCTGGAACAAAGCACCTGGGAAAAGGGGTGGTTGTGGTTTCTGCTTCAGCAGACTTAAACGTCCCTGCCCAGCAGCCCTGAAGCAACTGAGCCCCCAGAATAGTGCTTGAGCTCCATTAAGGGACAGGCTGCCTCCTCAAGTTGCTCCTTTCCCTGCAGTGTATCCTATCTGGGAGACACTGTCATACAGGAGAGCTCAGACTGACATCTGGCAGGTACCCTTTTGGGATGAAGCTACCACAGGAAGGAACAGGTAGCAATTTTTGCTGTTCTGCAGCATCCATGAGTGATTCCCAGGCAAGCAGGGTCTGGAGTGGACCTCCAGCAAACTCCAGCAGACTTGCAGCAGAGAGGCCTGACTATTAAAAGGAAAACCAATAAACAGAAAGAGATAGCTTCAATATCAACAGAAAGGATGCCCACTCAGAAACCCTATCCAAAGTCGCCAACTTCAAAGACCAAAGGTAGATAAATCCACAAAGACAGGAAGGAACCAGCACAAAAAGGCTGAAATCACCAAAGGCCAGAACACCTCTTCTCTTCCAAGGGACCACATCCCCTCACCAGCAAGGGAACAAAACTGGATGGAGAATGAGTGTGATGAATTGACAGAAGCAGGCTTCAGAAGGTGGGTAATACACTTCTCTGAGCTAAAGGAGCATGTTCTAACCCAATGCGAGGAAACTAAGAGCCTTGAAAAAAGGTTAGATGAAATGCTAATGAGAATAACCAGTGTGAAAAACAAGACACGACATGATGGAGCTGAAAAACACAGCATGAGAACTCCATGAGGCATATACAGAGTGTAAATTTCAATAGCTGAACAGATCAAATGGAAGAAAGGATATCAGATTGAAGATCAACTCAGTGACATGAAGTGAGAAGGCAAGATTAGAGAAAAAAGAGTGAAAAAAAAAATGAACAAAGCCTCCAAGAAATATGGGATGATGTGAAAAGACCAAATCTACGTTTGTTCGGTGTACCTGATAGTGATGGGGAGAATGAAACCAAGTTGGAAAACATTCTTCAGGATACTATTCACTCTTCAGAATATTATTGGGAGAACTTCCCCAACCTAGCAAGGCAGGCCAACATTCAAATACAGGAAAGACAGAGAACACCACAAAGATATGCCTCAAGAAGAGCAACCCAACACATATAATCGTAACATTCAACAAGGTTGAAATGAAGAAAAAAATGCCAAAGGCAGCTAGAGAGAAAGGTCCTGTTACCCAGAAAGGGAAGCCCATCAGACTCACAGCAGATCTCTCAGAAGAAATCCTACAAGCTAGAAGAGAGTGGGGGCCAATATTCAACATCCTTAAAGAAAAAAACTTTCAACCCAGAATTTCATATCCAGCCAAACTAAGCTTCATAAGTGAAGGAGAAATAAAATCCTTTATGGAAAAGCAACTGCTGAGAGATTTCATCACCACCAGGCCTGCCCTACAAGAGCTCCTGAAGGAAGCACTAGGAACAACCAGTACCAGCCACTGCAAAAACGTACTAAACTGGAAAGACCATCGACACAATGAAGAAACTGCATCAACTAACAGGCAAAACAACCAGCTAGCATCAAAATGGCAGGATCAAATTCACAGATAACAATATTAACCTTAAAAGTAAATGGGCTAAATGCTCCAATCAAAAGACACAGACTGACAAATTGGATAAAAAGTCAAAACCCATCAGTGTGCTGTATGGACACAAGGAGGGGAACATCACACACTAGGGCTTGGTAGTGGGGGGCTAGGGAAATAGCAGGGGTTTGGGGAATTGTGGAGGGATAGCATTAGGAGAAATACCTAATGTAGATGAAGGGGCTAATAATGCAGCAAACCACCAGCATGGCACGTGTATACCTATGTAACCTGCACCATCTGTACATGTACCCCAGAACTTAAAGTAGAATAAAAAATTAATAAAAAGTAAAAATATTATAAAAAGAAATAATTTGATGCTAGCAAAATCTTCCCCTTGTCACTCATTTTTAAATTTATTCAATCATTTATATCACTGTGGACTATGGGTTTTAATCTAATATGTCATCGTTTGTTTTGGTTCTCATATTGACCTTGATTTGGTCATTGATATTCTTGAAGTTGTTCCTCAATGTGCTCCCATCAATTTTTAGCATTCTTTTTATTTCAAACACCACAGGATATTCCAGGATGGTCTTGTACTTTCCCTGCCTCAGACCTGAAATCCACCATTCCTTCAAGAACTCTGGTTCCTTTTACTGGATGATGATATTAAGAAATGAAGACCTGGATACTCTCATTACTGCTGAAATAGCCTTGCTCCCAGGCTGTCTCGGTGGACAGAGGTAGGAAATATGTGTATGTAAACTAACCTATGCATGTATACATATCTGTATTTATTTTTATATCCGTTCATATATATATCAAACTGATACACTTACTTCTGATTCCGGTTCACTACCACAGGTTTTATTCTAGCTTTCTTTCATTCTTTATGTGTAATTCCTTTGTCTAACAGTAAGAAAATTCATTCTTCACAATATATTTTCTTATGAAAATTGACTTTTAATGGTTACCAAAGAGGCACTCTTTTTATATAGCCCATTTTGTTCTTTTAACTTCAACTACTTTCCTTGGAGTTCAGACTTCATAAATGTATGTTTGTCAATGGCGACAAATGGAGATTACCAGCTCTATAGAATTATACAGTTAAATAGTGCACAGGGATCGTGGTTGAAAAACAAACACAAACATCTAATTAGTGTTTTCAAGTAACTCCATTTTACTAGGTTAATTTCATATTGTTTCAAGAGAACTAGTCACTTGATGAATCTTGGTTAATGCAGTGCTAACACCCTTTGAGTTGTGGGTGTCAAATTGAGACTCAACATATCCAGTAATATATGTCAGATATGCCCTAGAAACCGAAAACAAACAACATTAATATTATGCACTATTTTAATTTCGTAAAGGATGTTGGAACACTCTTTCTTTGAATAATGACATACAAAACTAGCTTGCCCTATTCTAGTTGTATAGTGACAAGAGTAAATGACTATCAATTAGACATTTGCTTTTCATTTATATTAAGCTTAAAATGTTAGCTGTATCATTTGAATAATGTATGTACCTATTATATAGTCTTATTTTTCTATCTACTTAGTTTAGAAATGATAATTTTAGCTTTAAAGCATGTTTTGATTTGTAAATTTGTTACTCAATCTTTTTTCCTTTTAAATAGATTTCTTAACATCCATAACTTTAGAAGTGAAGTTCTATTCATGAAAGTCCTCATCAGTGAGGTGGATATCTCATATGATTTTTAAAAAATATAGAAACAACAATTGCCATGGCAAATGTGAGTTATAGACACAATATTCACAAGAAGATTGTTTTAGAAAACATCTACACACATATAAAAGGTAAATACTGAGCAAACTGTACCAGATTTTTGCTATGGAAGTATGCACAAGAGAGCTTGAGACTTAAATTAGGGTAAAAAATTTAAATTTAATTCTAAGCAGCAATTTTCTTATAGTGAAGGCTGTTAAATCCTGAGATATGCTCTTGAAGATGAGATTTTAAAAGGTTTTTCTCTCAAGGTCTTATAAACTAATGAATTTATAAACTAACAAATATAATATTTCAGGATGGGTTAGGTGTGATCTCACCTTGATGTAGAGACAGAGACTTAATGAGCTCCCAAAGGCTGCATCCTAGCCTTAAGTTTTTTGTTTGTTTGTTTATTTCTTGTTTTTTCTTTTTCTTGCTCTGTCACCCAGGCTGGAGTGCAGTGATGTGAACACTGCTCACTGCAGCCTCGACCTCCCAGGCTCAAGCAATCCTCCCACCTCAGCCTCCTGAGAAGCTGGGGACAAGATTCTAAGAATCCCATTTTCACTGAGAATTTACATTGGAATGGGATCAAGGAGTCTTGCTTGTCCTCCCTGTCCACAGAGAACTGACATGTATAGAAATGATATGAGAGCTCAAGAACACACACCTACATGTTGGTAGCTTTGGGACCAGAGCTCTTGCTGATATGGCAGTGTAGGGAAGAAAAAGCAATTATCTTTTCCTTTATCATTACAAAGTTTATGGCCGATACCCCTATTACAAAAGACAGATTAACAACAGAAAAGCATAGGAAATCTATGTAACCAAAGCCTTATGTGACGTAGGAGCCTTCAAAAATGAAGAGCCAAAGACCCAGGGAAAACTGTATTTTGCTTCTTAGGTTCACTTAAGAATAGCCAGTCATGTAGAAGTATGACTGTACAAAAAGGGTATGATCTAATGATAATAAACTGGGGGAACTTTAGGTTCATTTCCCTACCCCAGTCTTTATACCTTTCCTCTTGGGATGAGGCAGGACCCCTGTCCTCTGAAGGTCTTTAGGGAAGAAGGGAAACGTTCTTTTTATGGTCTAGTATGGTTTGGATCTGTGTCCCTGCCAAATCTCCTGCTGAGATGTAATCCCCAGTATTGAAGGCGGGGCCTGGTGGGAGGTGTCTGGGTGTGGGGGTGGATCTCTCGTGGTTTGGTCTTGTTCTCACGATCGTGAGTTCACAAGATCTTGTTGTTTAAAAGTATGTTGGCACCCCTCTCCGTCACTCTCTCTTGCTTCTCTTTTCACCATGTTGCTGCTGGATCCCCCTTTGTCTTCTGCCATGATTGAAAGCTCCCTGAGGCCTCATCAAAAGCCAAGCGGAAGCCAGCACCATGCTTCCTGTTAAAGCCTGCAGAACCATGAGCCAATTAAACCTCTTTTCTTTATAAATTACCCAGTCTCAAGTATGTCTGTATAGCAATGCAGGAATGACCTAACACGTTGACCTCAGGGAATAAATGCAGGGGAAGGTCAGAGAGTGACTTTTCTATGCATGCCAAGGTGCCGTATTTTGGGGTCCCATGTTCTGAGCCACAACAGCAAAATAATAATAACAGTAAAATATTTTGTATAGCATACTACATAATTTTTAGGATTTTGGGGGCCTATATTTTATGTAGCCATTGTATCAACTACGTCAATTAATGAATATACTATTCTTACTCTGTCTTCAGGGAAACTGAGGCACAGATATTTTAGAATACTTCTTTAAGGCCAAGACACCGAGTTAAGACTTAAATGTTCATTTTTAAACACATAAGCCAGCGTTCTTCCAAGTGACTTGCTGCCTTTCGTTTGAGAATATCTGGAATTAAATGTAAATCCAACCTAAGTGGAGATTCCATATGTTTGGATTCAGACAAAACTGCACTTGTTGTGGGAAAAGAACCATGATGGTTTAGTTGCTGAATTTAGACCAGCGCTTCTCAAAGAGTCCTCTGAGGAACACCAGTTCTATGAGATAATGGTAGGTGTTACACCATATTAATTGAGGTTTGATTTAGCCTTGAGTAACAGAAAAAAAAATCACAGTGACATACATAAGATTGAAGATTATTTTCCTCCCACATAAAGAAGTCTGTAGCTAGGCCCTGTGTGACTCATGCGGTGGCTCACAATAAGGGGTCTGGGTCCTGACGTCTTGCAGCTTTCTTGTTTTCAGTGAGCTGTTCCTCCTGATTCAACTGCTGAGGCTGTAGCCGTCACTCTGCCTTCTGATTAGCTGAAGGGAGGAAGGGGCAACTGAAAGATACGAATGCTTCTTGCCTTTAGGGATATTTCCAAGTTGCCACACATATTATGTCCACTTACATCTCATTGGTCAGAACTTAGTTACTTGACTAGACATAGCGGCAAGGGAATCTGGGCAAGAAAACTTTTTGGCTAAATAGCAACGTACCCAGGTAAAACCGGAACTCTTGTACAAATGAAGAAGGGATAAATGGATACGGGAACTGACCCTATTAATGACTGCTGCATACCCATAGAAGTAAGCTCTACTTGAAAAAAAGAATTTTGTGGTCAAGTAAGGCTTAGAAATGCAAGAGTGAATAAAGCTAAACCAGTCTCTTTAACATCAGGCTTTCAAATATGTCAATGCGTATTGCAAAACTTGAAGAGTGAGATATGCTATGTAAAGTTCTCACACTTAATTGACTATAGAACTCTTGACCCATGAAGTATTTGTTGGCATTAATGGTCTGTGGAATACACATTGAGGAGATACTGCTGTAAATTGTTGAATCTGGAATGGATAATTCCTACCTGCTCCCTACTGCCAGGTTACTTACTGAAGAAGGCATTGCGCCTCCTCTGACTTACTTGATTTTATTCTGTGTGTGAGTCAAAGACGTGGTGGAACATACATGATGAGCATGACTATGGAGCGATTTGCAAATATAAATGATTGTAGAAATGCCAAATAATTAGACTTTAAAGAGGAAATTCCTAAATATTTGCCTAAAAATATGTTAAGCAATTTTCAGGTAGATAATTCAGCATTCTGTAATACCTCTACTAAGGGAGAGAGGGCTTTTGAATAATAAACTAGTAATAGCCACCAGTTGTTGAGCATGCAGAGAACCCTGCCTTAGCAGACCACACTGGGGTACCTACAGAGGGCTGTGGATGCTCCCATGGCCCTGGACCAGGCGCTTCTAAGTTTACCCTGGTATTTTGTATGACTTCATTTGAGAAATGCCCTTTCAGATCCTTTGTCTCTTTTTAAATTGGGCTGTTTTCTTACTATTATTTGAGTTTCATTTACATTTTGGATATTGATCCCTTACCAGATGTATGGTCTGCAAATATATTCTTCCATAGTGTAGGCTGTCTCATCACTGTGTTGATTGGTTCCTTGGCTGTGTAGCTTTTTAGTTTGATGCTATTCTATTTTACTTTTTTGCTTTTGTTATCTGTATTTTTGGGTTCATATACAAGAAATCAGTGTCCAGACCAATATCATGGAGATTTTCCCTTATGTTTTTTTCTAGTTACTGTACAATTTCATGTTGTAAGTCTTCATCCATTTTTTAGTTTCATTTTATTTTATTTATATTTCAGTAGTTGAACAGGAATAATTGGTGATTGTACATGGATAAGTTCTTTAGTGGTGATGTCTGAAGTTTTGGTGCACTCATCACCTGAGAAGTGTACACTGCACCCAATGTGTAGTCTTTTATCCGTCATCCACCTCCCACCCTTTCCCCTGAGTCCCCAAAGTCCATTGTATCATTCTTATGCCTTTGCAGCCTCATAGCTTAGCTCCCACTTATGGATGAGAACATATTGAGGGAATAAAACCTTTTGGGTCAATGGGGAATCTTTTGGAAATCCTAGTATGGGAAAAGGTCAACATGGGTACTTCAACCATAGCAAAGGCTGTGTTCAAAGTATCAGTTAGCTGTTCAACCACATTCTAATACTGCTTGCAAGTTCAATAGAAACTAGGAAACAACCAACAGGAGAGATTAGCTGACTAATGGTCACAAGCCCCTGCCCACACAGGACTAGGGGGCAAACACTCGGCAACTCAGAGCAGAGATTAGGTGACACATGGTCACAAGCCCTCTCCCCACATGGGACTAAGGGAAAAACACTCAGCAACTCAGAATTACTTGGGGATATAAGCCCAGGCAGCCCTGACCAACAGTGGGAACCCACTCAGGTCCCCTTCCACCCTTCCCTGCTGTGGAAGCTTTTACTTCTGCTTGCTCACTAAACTGCATTGCTGCTCACTCTCTCGGCCCATGAACTCTTGTTTGGAGCTGGAACACTCACCACAGGATCAGGCTCTCTGCTCAATTCTTCGATCAAGGGAAGCCAAGAACCTGAGACCCGAGCTCAAGCTACAAATCCGATTACAATATGATGTTTGGTTTTCCGTTCTTGAGTTACTTCACTTAGAATAATGGCCTCCAACTCCATCCAGGTTGCTGCAAATGCCATGCCATCATTTTCTTTTTACGGCTGTGTAGTATTCCATAGTATATATGAACCACATTTTCTTTATCCATTCACTGATTGATGAACATCTGGGCTAATTCCATATTTGTACAATTGTGAATTCTGTTGCTGTAAACATGCATGTCAGTAGTGGGATTGCTGGATCAAATGGTAGATCTACTTATAGTTCTTTAAGGAATTTTTATACTGTTTTCCATAGTAGTTGTACTAGTTTACATTCCCACCAGCTGTGTGAAAGTGTTCCTTTTTCACCACATTCACACCAACATCTATTATTTTTTAAAAAGTTGTTTATTATGGCCATTATTGTAGGAGTAAGGTGGTATTGCATCATGATTTTGATTTGCATTTCCCTGATCATTAGTGATGGTGAGCATTTTTTTGAACATTTGTTTGCCATTTGTATATATTATTTTGAGAATTGTCTATTCATGCCCTTAGCCCACTTTTTGATGAGTGTTTTTTTTTTTTTACTTGCTTATTTGTTTGAGTCCCTT